TCTCAATCATGAATGAACTGCCATGGTTTTATGGGGATCAGCTGTATGAACGGATTATGTGTTGGCCCAAGTCCACCTCTGTTACACCTGACTTCATACCACTGGTTTTCATCCAAAAGATAGCTGATATTATCTGTGGGCCATTGGCGTATATTTTCAATCAGTCACTTATGACTGGAGAGGTACCTCAACGCTGGAAGCACTCTTTCATCACCCCTGTTGCTAAAAAGGAACCATCCTCGGACCCGGCAAATTATCGACCTGTCAGCATCACATCTCTGTTTTGTAGACTTTTTGAGAAAACTATCAAAGACCATATTCTAGGGTATGTTGCCGCTCACAGAATCATACCACGAGCCCAACATGGTTTTATCCCTGGGAGGTCGGTTGAGACGAATATGATTGAAAGTCTGGAAGACTGGACCGCTGCGCTTGATGATAATCGATGTTGTGACGTCATATACTTTGACTTTGCAAAAGCCTTCGATAGGGTTCCCCACAATAAACTAGTTCACAAGCTTGGGGTCTTGGGGTTTCATCCGACTCTTGTGAAATGGATTTCTAATTACCTGCATGGCAGAACTTTTCAAGTCCGAGTAGGCATGGCTTACTCCGATAGCATGAGAGTGTTGAGTGGAGTGCCGCAAGGAGGGGTTCTTTCTCCGGTGCTGTTTAATTTGTACACTGCAGAGATACCCAGTCTATTTGAAGGATTAGATGTTGTAACGAAGATGTATGCTGACGATGTGAAGATCTACAAAGTTGTTACCGAAGCCAAGGACCGGGAAGTGCTACAACAGGCCATTAACCTGTTGAGTGATTGGGCTAAGCAGTGGCAGCTCCCCTTGGCCCCGCATAAAACAATGTATATGACGATTGGCAACAATTCTGCTTCTTCTCCCTTCGGGCCGTATACCGTGGACGGGGTTACTATCTCCTCCGTAAACTGTGTAAAGGATCTAGGTTTCCTCTATACCAATACACTTGACTTCTCCATGCATATTCGCTCTCGGTGTAAGCTAGCGTTACTGAGGACGTCGCACATTTTTAAGGGGCTGTCTACTACGAATAAGTCCATCCTTCTCAAAGCTTATAAGACATATGTTCGCCCTTTGGTTGAGAGTGGTGCTACAGTGTTCCATCCCAACAGGAGGAAGGACGTCTTTGCACTTGAAAAAGGTGCAAAATAACTTCACGCGTAAAATTCTTTCCCGGTGCAGATGCTTTTTCTATTCTGGCATTCCTAGAGCCTCTATTCGTAATAGATATCTTGAACTCTCAACGCTGGAATCTCGGCGCAAGGTGTTTGATGTGTGCATGGTTCACAAACTTCTGTACCAGTGTAACGATTTTGGGTCCTTTGATGTATATAATACAGGGCATTCTCATACGAGAGGTGAGCGGATTAAAATTATGCTTCCTGGGCCCAGAACAAGTGTAAGAGCCAGAAGTTTCACCTTTAGAGCTGGTAGCTTGTACAAAAAAGTAACTAAAAATTCGATCGTCCCTAAATCTCTGAGTAGGTTCAAGCGAAACATGACAGTGGTTCTAGCCAAGTATGAGCTTTCCTAGTTTTCTGAGACTGATCAATTTATTCCATAACTCTTATCAACATTTGGGTTCAAATTAGATTATGAGTTATATAGGTCTTTTTATTCGCATGTCAACTGCTTTTATCTTTTGTGTTGTACGGCTTATTACGTTGGTTTTAGAAAGTTGTTTTTTACTGCGTTTGCCTTAGCAGCGTAATAAACATTACACATAAGGATGATTTTGACATCAAATGCAAAATTCTAGCTTATGAAAACGACATCGGTGCTAGGAAGATGTTAGAGGCGTTCTATATCCGTGTGAAAAATCCAGTGCTGAACAACCGAAATGAATGCATGACCATAACAAATGAATTTCTTGCCTTTCATTCCTTTATGTGGATTATGAGACCACCACATGCGACACGTAGGACACTCATTGTCCATGGTGTCTCATTTTATCTTGGTCACTAACGAGAGGAGGCTGCTGGGAGACTGGTGGGATCACAGGTTGGTTCGTTCACTGGGATCGTTCTATTTTGTTTTGTTTTGAGTTCCGGGGAACTGAACAAGATTAGGCGCTTCACCGGAAGAGTTAGGAGCTAGAACTTTGAACCGGTTTCAGGTCCTGAAGACGACGGTTTGTCGAAACGTTGACCAATAAACGGTTCCACCATAACAACCTGTGCGGCACAAAAGAAGAAAAACACACAATATATGATTATATAAAACGTTCATGGAGCAATGGGGGTTCATTCTACATCAGTATGAGTAATTCTAAAATTGCACCCCTGAATTTTTGAGGGCGAGACATCCAAATGCCTGGAGCAGCTCGCCACAACGTCCAGCCAGTGAACGAAGACGACGCGACGCGATGAGGGTTGCTGATGCGATCGTTGCGTGCCACATCAAGGACGGTAACATCCAGAAATGCCATCGAATATTTGAACGTCCTGCTGAAGACGTCGTCCGACAAACAATCAACAGAAGCTGGTGTGTTCTTCACTTTCAGACGTTTACAGACGTTACAAAATACCAATAAATATCGATACAAAATTTGATTTCTGATTTAGTTTGGTCACACGTGCTTTCTTTTGGCTCGGGAGCACATACGAAATGGTCGTCCAACGAGTGCTGTACGACTTGCGAAACGGATCCTTCGGCTAGCTAGAACAACTACCGATCGATGTCTGGAGAGGGCCGGTCTCCAGCTGATGGCTACGATCTACGAAGAACAGAACGATGTGTCTTCCGCGACGGCTCTTCTTCAGAAATACATGGACGTGCCCGGAGTGACTATACCTGAGTCGGTGAACGCTTTGCTGAGATTGTCTGCTCTCGCTCAGCGGGCAGGCGCTGATCCTACGGACTATATTAATAAAGCGCTGAAGCTGGCTGATGGATCCGGGAATGTCGACGTGGTCGTGTTGGCGAGGTCCGCAATGCTACGCCACCTCATCACGCTACGAAAGGCTGATCATGAACCCAGAGTTGTGCATCTACTTTCCTTGCAGAGGGAACTTCTCAAGGCCGACATCAGTAAGACCTTCCCTTATTTCCGTTCTATTTTTGACTAACTACCATGAATTCAGATGTGACTTCGCGATCGCTAATTTTCGAGGATTTGGCGATGTGCGAGATGGCTGAGACGAGCGGAATAGACGAAATACATGCACTCGAACAAAGTCTCACTGAGGTCATTCTGATCAGCATCTTTCGAAACGCATCTTTTTCCTTTACTACCAAGCAATCAGCAATGAGCAGCTGAAATGGCTAGCTTTTTAAAACTGCCCACAAACTGCGTATTCGAACGAAAGTCATTTTATGATTTCTAAAATGCTATCTGAAGCTCCTGACAATTGCGGTGAATGTGAAAGGGTGCCTTCAATTATGTTGCAACCTAATAATTATGCATTCAAAATTCTGCTACTCTTCCTTAAAGGCAAAGTTCGGGCTCAGACCCACTTAATGAGCCTTTACGGTGGCTAGAAGCGCTAGGTACGCAAGTGCAGAGGTCGCGTCACTTCCCTACTTCGAAAAGCGTTACTTAGACGCTAGGCGCTAAGAACTTTGACACGCTCCACCTGTTGCGACACGCTCCGCCCACCGCTCGATATCTTGTCTGCGTCGCTAACTTGATCTGCTATGCTCTCTCTACTCGTACTTCTCTACGCTCTCCGCGCTCACATTATCTCTCATCTCCCTGCCGGCCTTTTGAACTTCTCCGCAGCGTAGAGCAAAAGGCTCGTATTTCCTGTGTATTTCACATTTTTTTCCTTTTTTCTCCACTGGCGGTCCACCTCCTACCCCTACTTTCACATTTGAGTGGAATTACCTCATCAATTTAATCCTGAATCTTGCCTTTAACTTGAGGCATATTTCGAAACAACAAGAGGTAGCGAGGTTCAGATATGTAAAGAGCAACATAATATACCATGTGACCTGAAATAGTATCTTCTATAGGTGCTTCATAGTTGTTTCAAAAGCAAGATCAGGATTAAATTGATGTGATAATCCCACTAAAATCTGAAATTAGGGATGGGAGGTGGACTGCAAGTGGAGAAAATAAAAAATATTGACAAACACAGAAATACGAGCCTTCTTGCTATTCGTTTCAGGGAAGTCTAACTTCGTAAGGAGAGAGGCATGGAGATGAAAGATAGCGACTGAGAGGGTAAGACCGATGTCAGACTTTGCTTACTGCGCAATTCGTTAGCGTCCGCGTTCGCGTTCCGTACAGCGAGAGAGCAAATGTGTGTGCGCGAATGCTACCCGCGAACGCGCTACTAGGGAATCACCTGCTTTGAAGTCTGACATCGTCCTTATGGAAATCCGAGTAACGGCGAGCGAGAGCGGAGAGCGTAGCAGATCAAAATGTGACGCAATAGACTTCGAACGAGTGGCGGACCTTGATTATCTTCGGTTGGATTTTGCCGAAAGCCCTTACGCCTAAGCGCCTTAGTGGCCTTTCCTCGCAATAACGGACGGCAAAGAGAATGCTCGTTTTTACGGTAAGGTTCGACAACGAGAATATAGATGGTAGAAAAGTGCAAGGCTAGCGCTATCCTTGAACGACAAATGCTACGACACTTCGTAAATGTGTCTCTTGCATTGTAACACTGGATTAGTACACGCGCTAAAATTAAATAAGAAAAATATCAGGCTACCAAGAAGTCGGTAAAAATCCAACTGATTGCCTTTTTGTAGCTATAACATATTCGTCGATCTCAGAAGGGTACAGTGCATTTGCACCCTCGATCGCATGCCACCCAAAAATCTTTGTAACAGACATGCAGTATTTAACTTCAGGCACAGGAAGGCAACAACGTCCGTCGTGAGCTGTTTTTGTTGGAGAAACTTGGCGATTGTCTCCTGGGAATGGAGAGATATGCAGAGGCCGAAGGTTTCTATCAGCAACTGCTCACGTTGGCACAACAACTGCGAGCCGTCACGCAGATCAAACGGGCTTACATGAAGCTGGCCATGTAAGTGTCATGAAAACAAATATAATAATCAGAAGAGGTTCGGTTTTATTCAGCTTAGCCGCTGGATCAGAGAGGTGGACGCGTTGTTCGGAACTCGCAAAGAAAGCGCTCACCTTGTCGCGTTTCTTCTACGACCACGCTTCCAAGGTCCACATGATGCTGCTCATCGGGAGGGCAGAACTGTCGAAGTATGCATTTGAGGATAAAAAGTGGAATTGCACTTCCGAGGCGTAACTTGTAATTTTAGAGGAAACAACGAGATCGCTCATTCTATCTTCAAGAAGACGATTGAACGTTGTGAAGAGCATGGACTGCAAGCAACAATGGCATTGGCGTCCAAGTACATAGTAGATGCTGCGATCAGCTGCAAAGAGAAGGATGCGTACGTGAGTTCCCATCTGCAACTGCAAAAATCTAATTTGAAATGGGCCAGAAGGTAGTGGCGAAAGGCCTGTCACTATTGCGTAGGACAATGCGCATGGACAAAAGAGTTGTCTGGCAACACGGTGTGTCGCGTTTTTGCAGGCGGAGAGTGCGCTCGAAGAAAAATGACTACTAAGAAATCTGAGGTTCAACTCCCCCCCCCCCTCCGTTCTCCTCGCACATTCCCGCGCTCTCATGCCCTCTTGCACCCACGTAAGCCTGGGAAAGTGCGAGAGTCAACTTGCGAACGAGGGAGACTTGGGCCACTTTCAAACACTGTCTAGTCGCTGGAACATAGTTCGGTCACGCTCGTACCCCTCGATTCACTTCAATCCACGGGTTGCCGCCAACTCACTAGCGAACTCTCACAGGCTTCTAACAGGGAGGTCGTTCAGGGTGTGCCAAGCTTTTTCAAAATGGTTTCTTGCATGACATTGGGGCACATGTGGGAACCACAGAACCATGGTTCATTTTTCCTGAACGGCCCTCTGAATACCAGAAAAGGGGTCCCTAGTTCGATTCCTCGTGGTGACAAATTTTTGCATTTCGAGTTGACGTTTCCAAAATTCGCGCAAAATGGAGTTAGCATGAATAATTAGTACCATATTCATGATTAGGACCAGTAACGTAACAACTAGAAAAACTGGTGAAAAGGTGGCCAAAAAAACCCAAAGGTGGCGCCCCATGTGATCGTCACTACTCGCACCAGTTCGTTTAACCAAGTGTATTGTAAAGGTCCTGACGTCCTATCATGGGTAATGGGGCACGTTTACCGCTTCACATGCCACTTCACTGCCCCCCTTGAGAAATGGCCGGACTTTTATCGTAATTGTGGTCATATTGAATGTGATTTGGCAGAACTTGCCTTGGGAGGATATCTGACGGTCATATGAAATGCAACGCCAAGCGATTTTCGTCTAAAGGTTTATAGTTGTGGTCTAACGTCGAATTATCCTGAGGCAAGTTTTCTAGGCAAGATCCCAGTGTGGACGAATTTCGTCAAATCGCGGCTAGTTTCTTTGGGGTGGGGCAGTAAAGGGTAAATAGTGGGCCGTACTAATTTATTCAAGCTAAACTCCATTTGGGTGTCATTCGGCAACTACAAAAGTTTGTCACTCAGGAATGCGAACTAGGGACCGGCTTTTTGGTATTCAGAGGTCCGTTCAGGAAAAACGGACCATGACTTTCGCGTGTGCCCATATACCATGCAAGAAACCGTTTTGAAAAAGCTTGGCACACCATAAACGACCTCCGTTGTCAGTGTACGCCTTCTTTCTCTAATCGCATTGCCCGTCCAGGCACTAATCTTGCTCGTTAGAATCGTAAACAGCTCATAGCTCGGCTATGAGGATAAAGCAGTCAGGCGGCTATGCCTTTTCTTCACCATTTAGCCTTCGTGACAAACCATAAGTTTTCGCACTGCCCGCGCCATTAAGTCATGAACCGACTACTAAAATGCCTTAATGATTCGACGCGGAACTGAACAGTTGTGCATCCAAAAATTACTTGAAGCCTACTCAATCTTCCCTGTCCTTCTCCACGGTCGGCCTATGATCGAGCTCAATCGGTTTAACGAGCTGGGCCAGAGATGCGTGCATGTGCGTTGCGGCGCGAAGGGTAGACATGGGATGATACGGGTAGAAATGGAAACTGAGAACTTGATTTGTGCTCTTTTGTATTACCGGTTTTCAGATTTTGGAACTGCTTCGAAGTCATGTGTCCTTACTTGAGCACGAAATGGATCAGAAAGCAAGACTGAGATCAGTGATACGTCTAGCCAGATACGGGGCCGAATTCGATCATCTCGCCAGCTTAAAAATCACCACTACTGTCAAAAAACTCGTCCCAGTCTCAATACGGACGATCAGGTGGGCATTTGATCCAAAAAAGAACCTGGCCACACGCTCAGCACAACCCCTGTTTGTACCCTTTTAAGGCCTGCCTTTGCCTTTCTTTTCCTCGCAATCTTACAGATTTCTTACTGCTGCCGGAGCCGCCCCTCCCCCAGCCCCATCATCTCTGAGCATCTTTTCGGGCCACCAGTCTTTCAAAGGAAGACCGAGTTTAAGCAGTGCCATCGATCTTTTATTGATAATTAATGTCTTGTTCAAATATGAATAGTTAGTCATACGAAAACCACTGTCCTTGGTCTCGTAATATATTGGTCAAAATCAATAAACTGGAAATAGCCCATGCTCATGCTGCTACACTGGCGATGAATATGGATTATTGCTATGCTCATAGATTGTTATCCTCATCCGGTTGTATACTGAAATGCCTTGTTTGAGAACGCGGTGAATCCTTAGATTGCCATGATATTCTAGGCTGACATCCTTTTGGAATGCTTCGACGTCTACCGTACCTTGGGAATGCTGGACGAGGCAAGGCGTCTTTTGATGGAAATTCTCAACGTCTCTTCACTGCCGAGGAACTCTTTGGAGAAGGTATCCCCTTTACCTTGATTCCTAATGGGCGAAACTTACCTAGTGGAGCGACAGGTGGATTTCCAAAGTGCGGACCGACACGCAATTGCGTCGAAGGATATGCCTCGGCGACCTAGCATGCCTCCCCGCGGCGCTATCGACGCGGCACGCCCACCGACTGGCTACCACTCGCCGCAGGTCTCCAGCCGTTTAGCAGAAAGAAGAGGGCAGCACCGATGAGAGTCGCATTAATGCGGGAAATCAGCGAGCAAGTAAGGGGTCCCAGTACTCCGGTTCTGAACCGTTTCTCATGGTTTTTCTTCGTTTCAGCATCACTCACCACCTCTACCTGCTCTGAAGGGCTTGCCTTCTAGTCCTTGGCTCCGTTTTTGAAACCTATCTGAAGGCTCACATAAGGCGGATTCGCCTATCAATGAGACTCATAACTGTAGTGGCGATATTTTCACTGGGAGCCCCGAAAATATTCGTG